AACCCAGGCATGTGCCCTTGACCAGGAGTCGAACCCTCAATCCTTCCGTCTGAAGGCCAACTCTCTAACCACTGAGCCAAACTGGCCAGGACAACAGAACACTTCTTACTGGCATTTTGTGCCTCAGGGGCTGCAAGGGGAACATGTCTAGATTGAGCCCATTCCTACTTTATGGCAGTGCATGGACCAAGGAGGCCACCTCAAGCAAACACACTGGTAGGCACACTCATCAATTTCAGTCACTACAGGGACCCGGAAGGGGTTCTTTTGATGGACACTGACGTGTGCTGCTTTGATGCATTCTTCAGACTTCCCTAGTGACTTCCACAGCGCCGTGTCCCATCGGAGACCCTGATAGGCCAATGTCCATGGGAAGGTCTGAGCACCCTAGAAGGAGCAGGTGACAGTGTGTGACCCAGCATGGCCTCAAGAGAAGTAGGAGGAATGGGTGAGCCCCTCTCTCTAATAACCTTCTTGCTCATGTTTGGGTTTCTAAAACTTGGGTAGTGGAGAGCATACATCGTCCCTCGCCACTTAGCGCTTCGACTTTCGCGGCCTCACTGGATCGCGGTTTTTCCAAATAATATAGAGCGAAGCCGCGAAAGTCGAAGCGCGAAGTGGCGAGGGTCGACTTAGAGTAAATAGAGAATCCTGCTTCGCGGAAATGTATTTATCGCGGTGGCGTGTGGAACTGATTAAGGGCGATCACCGAGGGCCGACTGTGTGACTCCGAGCGCGAGGATGCAGACTCTCCGGGTCAGTGACCACGATCGAGGTCGGACCCAGCGCCAGAGGGTTACTGCGAACAGCCAGGGCACCTGCCGCTTTGGAGATCGAGGAAGTGGGGTACGAAATCAGAAAAGAAATTGCGGGGGCTGCTTTGCTTTTTTTGTTTTGTTTCGTTTTTAACGACAGTGAGAGGTTTCGCCTCTATGGACTTGAAGTGTGCTGCGTTTGTAATCGTCGCTTTTTGTTTTGTTATTTGAGAGAATCCTTTCCAGAAGACCCGTCCTTGCGGCTCCGGCTTCTACCCAACATCCAAGCCCTTGGTTGTGTTTGGTTGGCATGTTTTGGGAATTGAGCATGAGGTTTGCTGGGTGGGGTTCTGTGCTGAGCTGTGATGGAGGGAATCGGACCCTTGAACCCGAGTGCGTGACCCTGTCCCGCCGCGCTCAGGTCCGGCAGCAGCGCCGGCAGGTTCAGTCCTCATGTTTCCTCCTGGCGTTGAGGCTGCTCCTGGGGCTGGTGACAGAGACTGTTTCCTCTCAGCGTCCTGCACAGGTCCCAGGTCTTGCTGCAGAAGCAGGTGGGAAGCATACCCTTGGGGCACATTCCTTTCCTCTGTTCCTCACCCAAATCCCAATCATGGGACAAGGAATTACACCTGCACTCGCTTCCATGAGAGAGGCCCGTGTCCAGCTGCCCCTCGAGACCCTGCATGGCCGGCAGGAGTTCTGAGGCCTCTGTGAAGGGCCCGCTTCACTTACTTGCTCTCTCCGTCCCACTGACCTGGTCTCCTGGGATTGACCAGGCCCAGGACAGGGCCAGGGGGTGTGGCTCCTCTCAGAACCCACTGCTGCTGCCACGCAGTACTCACTCTGCTCCCCACACCCCGATCATGCCCACCCTGTCACCTTGCCTCAAGCCTGCCCAGGACCCCCATCCCCAGGCCTTCCGAGTCTAGGCCAACCCTGGCAGGTACCATGTGTCTGTGCCCGCACCTGCTGTAGAATCCCATGGCCTCACTTACGGACTAAAACAATTTGAACAAGTTATTTTCTCTCTAGTTTCATGTTCTCTAAGTGGCTAAGGAACTTAGGGGGCTGTTGTGAGGACTAAGTATCTCCAAATAAGGAAGGTCACCACAGGCACAGGACAGTCACTTATTATGTGGAGTTGGCTGTCACTCTGTCCCACAGAGCCCAGCACAACCCCAGGCTCATGACAGGTTTGGGTTTGGATGGATCGGTTAATTGGCCGACTAATTGGTTAGGGAGGGCGTCTGTGTACCCACAATCATTCCCCAATGTTCCCATATTGAGAACAATGTGGTTGGTGGAGGGTGACAATGAGGAGAGAAACGAACTCCAGGCGGGAGAGAGGAGGAAGGAAGTAGTGAGGGAGACACAGGGGTGCCAGGCACAGTGTCTTGGAGATAGTGATACCCTCTTAGAGGAACGAGGTGACAGGCATTACTTCCTGCTCATACTTAGAATTTGAGGGCTGAAAAGGGGCCTGTAGATCTGAGACCCACTCTTTATCGTAGAGGTGAAGGGATCGAGGCCCCGGGGGGAGTGTAGGGATGAGCACAGGGCAGGTCGGCAGGTCAGGCTTTATTGACCCTGCCCGCAGCAGCAGGACTCCCAGTGCTCACCCGACTCTGCATTCTCCACTTCCGTTCCCATGGCCACCCCACATCGCTGCTGCCTTTGGACCTCAAAGACCAGACTTTGAAGAGTCCAACAGAGAGAACAATCTGTATGTAATTTATTTCCTCTTTCCTATGCTTTCTCTAACCCATTGACTTCTCTTTGGAACTCAATTCCAGCCCCTCTTTTTATGATTCTTATCCTGAATGACCTGGTCTCATCCAGGCACTTGAGGTCCTGGGATCTTTAATGTCTATAAAATCTTTCTGTAGCTCTCCTGTCGTACTTTCTTAGCATCCCGCTGGCTCCTGACCCCCATCTGCACCATTGAATCATGTTGAGCAACCCTAAGTGGCCCAGGCAGGGAGCTGGCCCTGTCCTGCCCCCAAAAGCCTGGCTCTGCCCTGGGCACCAACCCCCTAAACACACACACACACACACACACACACACACACACACACACACACATCTTCCTGCAGTGAGCGGCTCTGGACATGCACAATTGTTTTCTTCCCTCCAGCTGTCAAGAAATTCCCTAGGAGGTCCTGCAAGAGAGGGAGCAGAGGAAGCAGTCTGAGAGGGAGGGTGGGGGAAGAACTGGGAACTTGGTGTGCTTGGGTCAAAAGAGTAAGGCAAATAAGTGCACATATTCTCCATTGCTCCCTAGCTTATTTTTTCCATGGGGGCAGCATTTGAGTAAAAGCAACCGAACTGAGGCGAGCTCTGGGGTGGCCACTGGTGCACATGACCACGCAAGGAGGACAAGGGGGTAGTGAAAATCAGTGCAGGACAATGAAGGATGTCCCGAGCACATCTTAAGGTTGCTGGGCCAAAGCCTCCCATGGCTCCCTAATTTGGAGGGGAGAGCTAGGTTCCTGTGAGGCCACCCGGTGCACAACTTCAGGGTGCACAGTCCACACTGTATTCGTTGTGAAGAGTCCTCCAGGATGTATTTGGTATCTTGCCCTGCGGGACCCAGCTCTGCACTACTGGCTCCCTGAAGATCAACAAGGAGCATCTCCTAGCTGGAGGTTTAATGCAACTAGACCTTTATCACTGGGTGGATGAGACAGTGTGGAGTGGTCCTGGTCTTCCCCCTCCGCCCCCTGGGACAGGGTGAGGAGGATAGAAGTGCTCCGTGGCTCCTTCTTATTCAATCAAGCAGGGCAGCTCACCTGGCCCAGCTCTGCACCTCTGTGGGTGCTTAGTACTCCCAGCATCAAGGAAGGATCCAAACCCAGCTGAGCTGCCCAGTCCCTGGGGACCCCTCAGCCTCTGTGGAGTCCTGCAGAGGACCATGTATGTAAAAACCAAACCAAACACAAAAATATTGAAGGAAATTCAATGCAATGCTCATTTGGGATGTGGTAAGGGGGTAGGATTAAAAATTTCTTGTTTCTTTTCCAAATGTGTAAATAAATAAAACTAATATAATTGGTTTTATTACATTTTAAACAGCAGCGTCTTCTGCAACCATTTCACACTGAAATACATTAAGTCGTAAAACAGTTTTTTAATACCACAGAATAAGGATTTTTAAGCGGAAAGTTATGCTAAAATATACACTTGTTCCATGTTTTGTGGGGAAGGTTACTTACCTCCTACAGCAAGTTTTCTCGGCCATATCATAAGAATGGGTGTGACTGGGTGTTGAATTATGAGTCAGAAGTCACATTGAAGCCTAGAGTTTGACGTTACTGAAAAATCTTCCTTTAAAATAGAAGCCTCATGCACTGTTGGTGTGACTGCAAACTGGTGCAGCCACTATGGAAAACACAATGAAGGTTCCTCAAAAATTAAAAATAGAAGTACTTTATGACGCAGCAATTCCACTTCTGGGTATTTTTCTGCAGAAATCCAAAACACTAATTTGAAAAGATACACGCACTCCTATTTTCATTGCAGAGTATTTACAATAGCCACAATATGGAAGCAATCACTAGACAAGTAGGTAAAGAAGATGTGGTACATATACACGATGGAATATTACTTGGCCAAAAAAAAAAGTAATCTTATAATTTGCAACATGGATGGACCTAGAGGGTATTGTGTTAAGTGAAATAAGTCAGGCAGAAAAAGACAAATGCCATATAATTTCACATGTGGAATCTAAAGAACAAGTAAACTAACAAACAAAACAGAAAGAGACCCATCGATGCAGAGAACAAGCTGAAGGCTGCCAGATGAAGAGGGGTTGGGGCTGGATAGAAAAGGTGAAGGGATTAAAAAGTACAAAATGGTAGTTACAAAACAGCCATGGGTATAAAGTACAGCATAGAGAATATCATCAATAATATTGTAATAACTATGTATGGGGCCAGGTGGGCACTAGAATTATTGGAGGATCACTCTGTAAATTATATAATTGTCTAACCACTACACTGTACACCTGAAGCCAATATAAAATGATATTAAATGTCACCTGTAATTCAAAAAACAAACAAACAAAATTCTTCATTTAGAAAAGCATTGATTATGTATTTTCATCCAACCTACTGGTAAAATATATATATTCTTTTTTCAATATTACTCAGTGAATAGCCAGTCTCTTACATATACAATGACAAGAAATTGTTTAATGACTTTACAGACATCGAGAGATCATTAAGTAAATAGATTTATTTGCATACAGAGAAAAATTAAGTAATGTACATAGAGATTTAGTATAGGATTGATTTATATAACTCTAGGATTTTATATATATGTGTGTGTATAGACACACACATATATATGTATATGTTTATACATATATTTATATATATGGTTTTATGTCTCACGTGCATGGCCCAGGGAGGTAGGGGCGACAGGACACCGCTGCGCTGGAAATCACCGGTTCACAGGTGTGGTCCCTGAACCAGCAGCATCAGCTTCAGCTGGGAATTTGTTAGTAACTGGTACTGTTGCTGTGCACATGGGAAGGAAGAAACAGCATGTGTGCTGTGAGTTTTCCACCTTTACTTCGGGAGTGTTGTTCCAGGGAGTATGTGAGCACTAATTGGGGTGCACTTTATATCTAGCCACCCTTTTAGACATTCTTATTTGGGGGGTTGACTTTAAACACTATCAACATATTTTTTAACTTTAGTGTTTAAAAAAATTATACAAATAATTTATAAATACATTTTCATTGTAAAAATGTTCGAACACTATAAGGGTGTGGTGAAGGGAATGAAAAGTCTCATCACGTTTCTAGAGTAAAGGGGCCTGGACCCCAGACACAAAGGGTTTCCCAAGTCTTTGACAAAGGAAGGAGTGGGCTCGGCCGCAGGTCGGGAGGAGAGGCCAAAACCACACCCCAGAGCACCAGAGTCTCCGATCTTTCTTCTAGAAAGTCTACTTGCCTGTGTCAGTGTCTGGGGCCTTCAGAGGTCAGCTCTCCTTCCTACCTCGAGGACTCTGAGGGGCTGTGTGGCCACGCCCCTCTCTCCCTAGAACCCGAGGCTCCAGAAACACTGACACCCTGTCCCCTGCCCAGTGCAGGGCCACAGCAGGACTCGAACTCAGCGCAGGGCCATCTGGTTCTCCACAAGGAGCGAGACCCCCACAGCAGACGGTCCGGAGGCTCGGAAGAGGCTGCTTCGGGCTTTCTGTCCAGGCTGGAGCCGGCTCACTAGGGCAGAGCTCCGCTGAAAGTCATGATGGGCAGGCAGAGGAGGGAACAGAGGTCCGGCGCGGCCTGGGCCGGGGGGTAGGGTGACCTCTGCGGCTGCGAGCAAAGGCTCCTCTTCTCTGGCTTGTAGCAAGGTGAGACTTCACACCTGTGGGCAGGGCAGAAGGAAGGACAGGCCTCACATCCCTGCAGCAACTTCCAGGCCTGTGGGTAGGAATGTACAGAAACTGACCCTTCCCTCCACCCCACTCAGCTGAAGCAGAGCCAGGGGCCCCTTCCTACCTGACCACACTCTGCAGGATCTTCCTCTCATCCTGGTCCAGACACACTGCGAAGGGGCAGCCGCTGGAGCCGATAATCTGGACCTTGTCCACTTTGATCTGCGAGGTGCTAATCTGGAAGGAAGGCCCAGGTCAGCCCCAGAGCCCTGGCCGCGGAGACCCAGCCCCTGGCGGTTCCGCCCCTGGAATCGCCCGGCCAGCCCAGCTCCGGGGTGGGTGGCAGCGTGTCTGCCAGCTCTCTGAGGCCAAGGCCCGCTCAGGGGAGGGGTTCCAAGGACTCCATCAGCCCTGGCTCCTCTCCAGTCTCTGCCCTTTCCCGAGTCTGGAAGGAGCAAGTGCCCGCTGGGGAGGAGCTGCCCTGCCCCTGCCGACACTGAGCCTGCGTCCCAGCCCCCCCGCCTCGGACAGGGCAGAGCCCGTCCACAGGTCCGTGTCCTCTCACAGAGGCACCCCTCCTCCTAACGCCCGCAGCCCTCCACGTGTGCTCCCCAAACCTCTCCCCTCACCCTGCCTCTCCTCCCACCCACATGCCCCCCACAGCCTGGACACCCCCCCTCTCGCACACACACACGTGCCCACGCGCACAGGTGCCTGCACAGCCCAGTGCGCCTCCGGAGGGCACGGCTTCGAGGGGAGCGAAGCCCTTACCTGGTTAAAGCCCTTCTTGGATTTGGGGTGTTGCCTCTTCACCACTTCTGTCAGGTTCAGCGTCAGGGCCTCCACGCCGGAGTCTGAAGGGCAGGGGCGCTCAGGCCGGGCTCAGACCCTCCCCGCCACCACCCCGTGCCCTGCGCACCCCACCCACCGAGCTCCTCCTGCTTCCGGCAGGCCTTGTTGAGGTTGACGGAGGTGCAGACCTTCTCCATGTTACTCCAGCGACTCCGGCCACTGATGGCCCCCTGGGAAGGCAGCAGAGCCAGAGCCCCTCAGCGTGGAGGCCGGTGCCTGCTTCCTTCCCTGCAAGAGGAGGCCCCGGGTCCCCAGGGACGGAGCTGCCCGTCATCAGCACACCCAGGAAGTTCTCATTCACCCCGGTCTGCTGGCTTCTTCACTGAGAGCCCCTGACCCCTGCTTAGACCTTGGTGACCCCGGGGAGCGGCGTCATGTCTCTGGCTTGGTCCATGGGTCAGCCGTGTGACCAGGTCACAGGACTGCACCTCAAGGGGTGATCCTGATGCTCTCCTGCTGAGCCCAGCGTGAGGAAGAGAGGGGCCCACAGCCTGGAGTTCCTGGCAGAGCCACCCCGGAACCCCTCTTTCATTGGGGACCTCCATGTTGCCAAACCCCAGAGCGTTTCTCGATCCTTGGTCAGCTTACTTGACCTTATAGTCCGTCATCACTATCCCATCAGCCTTTTGTTATTGCCTTGTCGTCACTCACTCTGACAGTATCTTGGCCGCATCTTCTAAAAGAGCTAAAGGGCGGGCCTAGCCTCCCTGCTTCCTGTGTCCCCCTCACTCAGCCTGGAAGGAGTAGGTGCTAAGTGACAACCTTCTGAATGGTTTAAAGAAGGAAGAAGGAAATCAGGAGGGCTCCCCATGGGTGAGGTCAAGCCTCTAGCGGCCTGTACCCCAAGGGGTGACATGCTCAGAGACTCCTGCTCTCTGGTGCGCTCACGGGCACCCCCCTCCATTCCCACCTCCAAAATCTCTTCACCCCTTCACACCGATCTCACCACCCTGCACCCGGACAGGCACACCAGGCCTCAGCCGTGGCCGCTCCCTCGCTGTGCCTCTGGGAGCCCGAGCGGCGCCCGCTCTCCACCCCAGTCCTGCAGCCAGGCCCCGACGCTCATGGACGCTGCTGAGCACATCAGGTGGGGGGCGAACACGGGGGCGGCCTCCTGTGGCCTCCAGCTTAGAGACTGGGGCCCGAAACCTGAGTCTGGCTCCGGGCGAGGATGAGGAGCAGGTCCCAGAGGGGCGTGGGCCCCAGCACCGGTCTTACCTTGCTGTAAATAATCTGTAGTGTTAGAGGGACGGCCTCCCGGTCCCCATCAATGCCCAGCCTCTTGCTGCCAGGTCCTGTGCACATGCAGACAGACCCTTCGCTCAGTGCCACTTGCAGACCCCAGGGCTCCACCTCCCTGCCCCGCCCCACCTCGGGCACCCTGCCTCCCAGGGCCCCCCAGCCCCCTACCCCCTACAGGTCTCCATCGCTCACCCGAAGCCTTGATGGCTCGCGTGGCAGCAGAGTGACCCAGCTCCATGGAATGAAGGAAGATCTCCGTGGTCTTCTCCCCGGTGATGAAGGTCAGCTGGGAGGGCAAGACCAGGGCATCAGTGTGGGCCTCCTGTCGGGACCCACCAGGCTCCTCCGGCACAGGGCTGGGGCTGCCACGGGGTGGGGACAGGCCCAACAGGGCCCAGGCTGGGACCGGCCATGCTAGGGCCGGGGAGTCGGAGGGAAGGCGGCTTGGGCCCTTACCTCTGTCTGGTAGACCTGCAGCAGCACGGGCCGCGCCGCGAAGCGGCAGTAATAGAGCAGCATGTCGGCCAGGATGGGCAGCTGGGCGGGGGAGCCCTCCAGGGGCCAGGGGTCCGCCTTCAGGGATTGCTGGGCAGGGGCAGCCGAGCCAGACGGACAGTGGACAGGGAGAGAGAGGGAAGAGAGAAGAGGCAGAGGAGCAGACATACGCATGCAGAGAGGAGATGCGGGGCAGAGAGCCAGGGAGGGGTAGGGAGGCGAGAGCAGGAGGCAGCGTGGTCAGGGCCAGGCCCCAGCCCGGTCTCCATGCCTCTCCCTAACTCGGCACGCGGGTCTCCAGGAAGGCCCCCGGCAGACCCGGACAAGCTGAGCTGAGGTTGGGGGCTGAGCCTCGGGTCCCCTGGATCCTTCTGAGGACCCTCCTGTCACTGCAGTGACTCCACTCCTTGTCCCCAGGGCCTGCGTTCAGATTCAGTCCTGATTCTCACCGACTCTCTGCCCATTTCCAAGTGCGCCCTGGTCCTCCATGGAGTCCTCAAGCGGAAGCTCCCCAAACCAGGGCCTTCCAAGCGAGGTTGGGTGGCTGCAGCCAGGAGGCCCTGTCCTCCCGCCCCAGGGACCACTTACCTGGCACAGGACTTGGGGGGGCAGGTGCATGAGGCCCAGCACGTTGCGCTCATACCAGGGGTCGAGCATGCCGAGGTAGTAGGAGATATCATTGGTGCTCTCCTCCCACTGGGCTGTGCCCAGCTCCTGAGACAAAGGATGATGGTCACTGCCAGCCCCAGGGCCCTGGGCGGCCCTGCAGCCCTAATCTGAGCTTCTCCCTGCCCTTGGACAAGTCTGGCAACTTTCAGTCTGGGTCACACAGCAAAGTGCCCCCCCCCCCAGGTGCAGGGCAGGGACCACTCACGGGAGCGAGGGCCAGGCCAAGGGAGGTGCCCCAGAAACACAAAACCGGCCCTTTCAGGTAACTCATGTCCACTCTACTCTCCCAGCCCATTTGGTCCAGGGCTGGGGACCTACCGCAGGGCTGGGGTGCCTCGGGGAGTCTGGGGGCGGTGGGGGTGCCTGGCTCGGAGGGGCTGGGGAGACGCTAGAGCTGGTCCCTTGGCTTCGCTTGGTGGGAACGTAGAAGAACTGCAGCTTGAAGAACCGTGTGAGGAGAGGGCGGTTACTCTCCAGCCGCCTGGCAACGAGAGGTCGGTGAGCAGGAGCCCCCAGGTCCCTGGCAGACCTAAGCCTCAGATTCCGCCAGCACCCCGCTACCCAGGGCAGGGGGGCACAGCCATCCCAGCTCTTACCGCAGGTTGCTGTAGGCCCGAGCTACCTTCCCTGAAATCCGGTCGGAGCCGAAGACCACAACACGTAGTGTGGACGCCTTGGGGTCCTCGTCCCCACTCAGGAAGGGGCGGCGGCGCTGATGGCGTGAGGCGGGGGCCAGGAGCCAGCTGGGCATCTGGGAGCTGAGCTTGGCCTGGGGCAGGGAGCGGGAGCGCTGGGCCCGGGCGGGGGGCAGTGCCGGGCTGTCCAGGGGGCTGCAGAGGCTCCCCGCCCGCCGCAGGGGCAGCGCAGAGTCCGAGCTGCCCTCCAGGCCCCGAGAGTCCCTGCGCAGAACCAGCTGGCTGGTGCTCTTGAAGAGTTTATAGATCCTGTTAAACTTCTGCCCGGGCCTGCGGTAGCCCCGGTGCTCCCGACTGCCAGGCCTCTTGGGCCACTCAGGGGAGCTCTCTTCGCTGTCCTCCATGTAGCCACTGTCCACGGCATCCGAGAGGCCCGAGACAAAGGAGGTCAGCAGCTGGCGGGTGAGGGTGGCCCCAGAGGCCTGGGACGAGGCAAGGGACAGGGTGGAGTCACGGGAGGCCTCGGAGCTGGTGGAAAACAGTGAGTCCCTCTTGGCACACTGCCCATCTGTTTCCAAGTCCTCTTCCTCCTCCTCTTCTTCCTCCTCCTCCTCCTCCTCCTCGTCGTCCCCCAGAATCCCCGGCTGCAGCAGCTCCTGTTCCTTGAGCAGGATCTCCTGTAGGACGTCTGCACAGATGCAAGGGAGGGGCCAGCTGGGTATCAGGGCCCTGGAACCTCTGCTGCTCCCCTCCGTGCAGGGTGACAGCTTCAGACAGAGTGGATGTGGGGAGAAGACAGCGGAAGGAGGGCCAGGACCAGCCCAGGACCCAGAGTGAGGCTCTCTGCTCTGCCCAGAGCCCGCTCAGGTTGGGGGCTGGTGGGGCTGGGGGCGGGTGGGGCCTGGGGGCCGCTGCACTGACCGGCTTGGGGGTGAGCGTTACAAGGGCCCCAGGGGCACTTACCGAAGCTGTCCTGGTTCCAGCTGTAGGTGTAGCACCTGGCGACAGGGATGGGGATGGTGCGCAGTTTGCCAGGTTTCGCAGTGTCTGTAAGAACGGGGGCCGAGGGTGAGGCTGGGGTGAGGCTGAGATCGGCCAGCCCAGTCCCTCGTCTTAGAGAAGAGAGCAGCGTTGGGAGAGGACGGCCCGGGCCACGAGGCTGCGGTCAAGGCCGAGCAGGGCGCCGGGTGCCTGGCGCACAGCAGGGGGCCTTCTTTCAGGGCGCTGTGGGGCCGCCACGCCCTTTCATAAGCTGCCTAAATGTAGCGACGTCACACGCCTTGAGCCTCACTTTTCAGGGTCCAAACAGGGAAACAAGGGCACTGTCTCTGCCTGGTGCTGTGAGGATAGTGTCCCCTCTTCTATGGCTACGGGGTTGTGGAGAGGACGTTTCCAGGTTCCTGGGGTGAGGTGTGGCCCTGAGACTAAAGTGGGCTAAGGGGCCCGTGTGATGCGAGGTGTGCAACTTTCAGGTTATTTCAGGGTAGAAAGCAAGACCCTCGCCCTTGATGACCACATGCTTTTCCTCTTCCCACACGCTGCCACGTGATGGCGGCCCAACCCTAGCCCTGCAGGCGGGAAGGGTGCACCAGGGCCGGGCAGCTACGACATGTGAGGAGCATGGGTCCCCGAGGGGCTGCGTGGAGCAGAACCACCAGGCCGACCTGGACTGCTCACTGTGGCAGCCAGAGCAGACGACGGGGACAGTGGGCCCCACTAACCCAAGAGCCTCACCCAAGACATCGGGGAAGCCGGCTTTCTCTCCCACGGCCTCCAGCTTGGTCCGGAGCCACTGGCGGGCCTCGGCTGCGTCCCCGATGCCAGGCGCCAGCTCCTGGGCCTCTGCAGTCTCCGTGAAGATGTCCTCAAGCTCCGCCAGGGTCTTGGACTGCAATTCCAGGAGAAAGGCTTGCTCCTACACCCCGGCCGGGCTGCCTGTCTCCACTTCCCCAGCCTCAGACCAGGGAGCCAGGCCTGCCCCCAAGCCCCCGCCTCAGGAAATGGTCCTGAGAGAAAGGCCCACAGCCGAGCTCTGCAGAGTTGGCAGGGACCGCGGAGCTCACCACTGCAGCCCGAGAGGGGACGGGGCTATCCAAAGTCAAACAACTGACCTGTCACAGAGCTAGGACCAGAAAGCAGGTCTTCCAGCTTCAGTCTAAACCACATTCCTCTGAGGCCTGTGCCCACCCCCTGGTCAGGACCCTCTAGGCAATGCCAGCTCTCCAGCCACTGCCCGCCGTGCCCCCGGGGTGAGGGAGGCCGCTGTTCCCAGGGACTGCGGCGCTGAGGAGCAGAGGGAGGGCTCTGCCTCTCCAGAGAAGCGTTCGGCTAGAAGGGGGCAGTGTGAAGCCCCGGGCCCCAGGCACGTACCTGCAGCCTACAGTGCAGGCTGGGGAGGTCACAGCGGGCCCCAAAGGTGGCCTGGAAGGCATGCAGGAGCAGGGTGATGTAGGCGCCATGGGGTGAATGGCCCGGTGTGCTCAGCTTGTTGGCCACGGCGAGGAACTCCGCCTGCACCTCCACCGGGTTCAGCAGCAGCACGGTGCTGGGGGCACAGAGGAGCGGCTGTGGGCCCTGGGGCACGGCCTCACACCGCCTCACAGCCCAGGCAGGGCCTGGGGTCAGCGGAGAGGGTGGGGGCTCAAGGGTCCCAGTTCTGAGAGGGAAGTTTACGGTTCACCCAGTTTTCAAAGACCTTTTAAAAATGGAACTTACTTTTAAAAAGTAACTTTTACCTTAATTTTTATATAAACATTTTTTTCCTACAGGAATCTGAATGGATGCAAGATTACTCAAAAGAAAATGGTGTTTTAGCCCGGCCGGTGTGGCTCAGTGGTTGAGCACAGACCCAGGCACTGGTTTGATTCCCGGGCAGGCACATGCCTGGGTTGCTGGCTGGTCCCTAGCATGGGGCCTTGACCCCCAGCAGGGGGTGTGCAGGAGGCAGCCCATCTCCATCTACGTTGATGTTTCTATCTCTCTCTCCCTCTCCCTTCCTCTTTCTCTACAACCAACAAAAAACATTTTTTTTTTCTAAAGAAGATTGTATTTTAGATGAGGTGACTTGAAGCCAGGCAATCATTTTGGGGAGGGGGGCAGCAGGGCAGACACATGCCACAATATAGAGGGGCCTGAAATTTCAGCTCACGCCCTGCTCCTCAAGCCAAGGGTTGTGGTGTGGAGCGGCATCTGCCAGGAGGCAGGGAGCCGAGGCGGCCGCCTGAGCCCTCCGCCCCCAGGAGGCCCGTTCCTGACTCGCCCAAGCATCACACAGGCCGGCCTCGGCCTGGAGAGGAGTGTGGGCCCCGCCTCCTCCGCCTCTCCTCCCGCTGCACCCTGGGCTCCTCCTTGGTGCCAGTGTCGAAATGTGTTCGTTATGAACATTTCAAACGTACACAGATGTTAAGAGAATGGTGAACCCCGAGGGTGTCGATCACTCAGTCAACAGTTAACACAGGACTGTTCTCTCTTCACCCACGCCAACCCTCGTCACTGCATCTTCCCGAAGTGCACTGGAGCCCTCACGGTGGTACTGGGGGTGGTACTGGGCCTGCCCACGCTTTAGGATGCCCGCTCCGACTGGCTCTTCTCTCTCAAATCCGGCCTTTGTTTACAGCCGAGCAAAGCAGCCCCAGGCAAGGGGCGTTCCCTCCAGGCGCTTGGACATCTGTCCCAGAGCTGGGCCCTGGGCTCAGGACCAGGCTCGGTCAGAGTCGTCATCATTTGGGGAGAAACTATTTTTGATTTCTCTATTTATAAGAAAAAGGAGGCAGGCTCACGGAAGCAGCCCCTAACTGAGCGCCTCTCCTTCCCGGAGGGCTTGGTCATTCCTCCCGCGGACGTGCGCTGCGCCCCGTGTGTGCGGGTCAGGGAGGCCACCCGGCTGTGCCTGAGCCCTCAACGCCTGCACGCCATCTCTGCTGAAAACGTGCCTGCGTTCCCAACTCACAGAAAGCAGTGCGACCATCTCTCTCTCTCTCAGCACTGAGACCTTCCATTAATCTCTCTGCACCTCAGCTCCCTGACCTTAAAAATACCTTTCCATAGGGTTAACATGAGGATTGGACAAGGCAGCGATGCTGACAGGTGCCCGCAGCTCCGTGAGTGCCGGGAAGATGGTGAATGTTCACCAGCTACCTGCCACAGTTCCCGGGAGGTGGGCTTACTTACTAAACTAACATTTACTAAACATTTTATTTTAATCCTCACCTGAAGATACTTTTTCCATTGATTTTTAGAGAGTGGAAGGGGGAGGGTTGAGGAGAGAGAGAAACATCGATGTGAAAGACACACTGATTGGTTGCCTCCCGCACAATCCCCAACCAGAGCCTGCAACCCAGACCTGGAATCAAACCCAAGACCCTTCAGTGCACAGGCTGACACTCTAACCACTGAGCCACACTGGCCAGGGCACATTTACTAACGTTTTTATGCCCTCTGTCTTTCTCAGAACTCACCACTGGCTTTTTTGTTTGTTGTTATCTAGAAGGGACTTAACAGATAAAATTAATTTGGGGAGTCACAACCAGAATTGCCTTTTAAACGAAACGGAATAGAATGAGACAGAGCCCATCCTGTGTGTGTGTGTGTGTGTGTGTGTGTGTGTGTGCACTCCAGGCTGTCAGAGGTTCAAATCCTGGCTCAGACACTTACTAGCTGTCACTTGGAGAAGTCACTTGACCTCTCCGACCTCCAGTTTCCTCATTTGGAAGGTGGGGTAAGTGAGGTAATGTGTGCCCAGCCCCTGGCATGATCAATGCAGGTGCTTCTAACCTTTTTTTAAAAAAGTCTCGGACCTGTTTGGGAACCTCCGGAAAGATGCTCGGCCCAGAAAAGAGGCTCTGGGCACAGAACGTCCCCGGTAACCCGGGGTCCAGGCCTAAGGCTGCTGGCGGCCTGGCTGGGAGGGGTGCAGTGGCAGAGGAGCGGGAACAGCGGGGTGCAGCCCCCCCACCCCTGCCCACCCCCGCGCTGTCTCCCCCTCGCCAGGAGCACTCACACAGTGGAGCTGCGGTGACTCCGCAGGGGCAGACCCTGCTCGGCCCTCACCAGCCGCTGGAAGGAGATTCCTATGGTAAAACACAAAACACAAAACAACCCCAGTTCAAGCGTTTACCTGTCCCGTCAGCGGGCAGGCCCTGCACCCCGCAGCGAGCCCGCACTGGCCAGTTCGGTTGGGAGTCCTGGGCAAGGTTCAGGACAGGGGCAGGTCAGACCCGAGGCCTCCAGGGCCTTCACAATGAGTCCCGGGTCCCGCCGTGGCCCGTCCAAGCTTTGCTCCTCAGACACTGCAGGGCAGAGCGCCCCTCGGACTATTCACCCCATCTCAGCACCTTCCACACTCTCACCTTCCCCAGCAGCTTGGCCTGGCTCCCTGCCACTTTTCAGGGGACCCTCTAAGACAGCGTCTGCACCATAGACCTCCCAGCCTTCCTCTCCGGCCCCATCCACCTTCCTGTCTCCTTGACATCAAACGTGCAGAGAAGAAACGAGCTAAAGTTTTTCCATTTTTTCCTGCAACTGGGCTCAGCTCAGCAGCTGGAAAATAGAACCTGTCACAGTGTGTATTCAGTTCTGTGTCAAGTTCGATGAAGAGATTAAACAACACTGACAAGGGTAATAGGAGCAGGGGCTGGGGCTCGGGGGCAGGCAGCCCCGTTGTTCGAGCTTGGAAATTGTTAAGGGGGACCCTGTCTCCCTGCCTCCCTGGCGGGGGCAGAGCCTCCCAGGACTGGGTGTGAGCGGGGAGCTGCAGGCAATCTGCTGGGAAGTGCAAAGCCCAGCCGGGGGTCCCAGACCGCTGTAAACAGAAACAAAGGCCATAATTTTTGTTTAGTACATGAGAAAACACTACCAATTTATGCTAGTCTAACTTAGCACCTAATTGCTTTGATTTGGGCCCTTTGATGTTTCTTTTATGTAATTGTCACATGTTTCCATGTTAATGTCATATCTATTTTAATAGGAAAGTCCCAAACAGTGGCTATTATTATCAGGACTGGTGGCCACTCACATACACAACAGAGAAAATCTCCCCATTCGACGGCCCCCTGGGAAAACGCTGAGGTGGACGAGGACGGCCCCCCCTCAGGCTCCCCTAGAACACAGGCAAGCTGCCTTCTCTTGACTCTTCTGCACTTTTCTTTTACTTCGCAATGTTCTTTGCATGAGTCCCACCCATGGACTCATGGCTTCGCCTCCGGTTCTGCCTGATTGACGGGCCACACAGCTGGCCGCACTCCTGGGGGGAGGGGGCAGCACATGGCGAGATCGCTCTCCCTCCACATCAGGTGTTCTTCCAAACGCTGACCATCGGCTCCAAGCCCATTGCCCTCTGGAAACTGCCCTCCCGAACTCACTAAACCCAGCACCTCGACCCTGTCATTCTCCGTGAGCTCTTTTTCCTCTGAGTCTTTGATGCCGTTGGCCGCTTTCTCCATTAGTCTCCATGGCAAGGAACGTCCTGTCTCATTCTGTATTTCTCTATCTGTCTGTTTATCTTAAGACACCTTCAGAGTCTCACTTGGGGACAGCGGCGCAGTTAAAGCTGGGAGCTACTTCATATCAGCCAGGCAGACGCCGTATAACCTGGCCATTTGCCCGGTTTTGCGTCGGGGGACTTGTAGAAGGACATCTGTGCCCCCTGGCACAGCCTCACCCGGAGGGAGCTGTTTCCAGAGCTGAATATCCTAGACGCCAACAGTTCCCAAGTGAAGCAAGGAGCAGCGGGTGCAGCTCCCGCCCCTCCGCCCCACCGACAAAGCCATGTTTTAAAAACCAGGTAGAAGGCAACCTAGGGTTGTCACTGTGCCCCACAGACATTCCGGACCAGGCTTCTCCCATCTGTCGGCTCCATCATCCTTGGCGGGAGACATCGTCCTCAAGGTCATTTCATTGTCTAGAGCGCTGGCCATCATGTCTTCATTCCAGTTAATAGGAGGCAGCCAGGCGGTTGCAAGGAGTTTAAGCCACCGTTATTTTAGGCTTTTTTTTTTTATAGGCAGCTGGCTCAGTCCCAGCTAATCACGCCCTGTGGTTTCTGGAACATCTGCCCTCCACTCCTTCCTTTGTCTCCCCCTATAAATCCATGATATAATAAGAAATATATATATTCATATCTATTTATATATGTATATATTCATCCCCAGTTCCTGGGACAGAGCTCCTAAAATCCTTGTAATTTCCTGAGTGATGAGGTGATAGCAGCATCTTTTTTTTTTGTACGTGCCCCTAGCGGGAACCGAACCCGGGACTCTCTGGTCTGCAGGCCGATGCTCCAGCCGCTGAGCCAAACCAGCCAGGGCGAGAGGAGTACCTTTTATTATTTATAGCAAGTCCCTTTTAACTGGACCTGAGTTTACGCTGATGAGGTGACTCGTGGTGGGTCCCTAGATAGCTCCCAGCTGGAGGCTGGAACTTCCAGACATCCCCCAGCAACCCTCAGGGGTGAGAGTTAATCATCAATAGCCAAGATTTAATCAATCATGCCAACTTAATAGAACCTCCATAAAACCTGTAAACATGGGGTGGCTTCAGAGACCTTCCAGGGTGGAGAATGCACCCCAACTCCATAGGGGCAGAAACTCCTGCACTCAGAAACCTTCCAGACCTTGCCCTATGTACCTCTCCATCTGGCTGTTCATCTGTATCCTTTATAGTATCCTCTATCCAGTAAACATAGGCAAAGTGCTTTCCTGAGTTCTGTGAGCTGTTTTAGCAAATTATTGACCCTGAGGAGTTATGGGAACCCCTGATTTGTAGCTGGTTAGTCTAAAGTAAGGGAGACCTGGGCTTGTGATTGGCATCTTAAGTGAGAGCAGTCTTGTGGGACCAAACCCTTAACCTGAGGGGTCTGTGCTAACTCCAGTGGTTAGTGTCAGAACGGAGTTGAATCTCTGCACCCCCAGCGGGGGCCTGGAGAGGTGGAGAATCGGTTGGTGTCGGGGCAGAACTCCCACGCCTCTGATGTCAGGCTGTTCTGTGAGTAAAACAGCGCAGACCCTCTCCTCCTAGCCAGTGTTAGCTGACTTTCCTTTAAGGGGTCTAAACTTTTCATTCCATAATCAGACACAAAAAGTATAAGATGCAAATGTTTATGATCAGTGAATATCTCAAGAGAAACTTATTGCCACTGAATAATATTCACAAGTCCCCTGCCACCTGCTGACAGGCAAAACTGACCTCATCCAGGTTCGCTCCTGATGGACAGGAGGCCCAAGGGTGGGAAGGCACTAAGTGGAAGGAAAGGGGCAGGAGAAACTGCCCAAGGGCAGGAAGTGCTGGGGAGCCAGGATGGCCCAGGTCCCCCAGTCATGCACAGTCCCCTGCCTCGTCCTTTGGTCGAAACCCAGCATTGTGCAATGTGAGAATGTTATTCTTTGATCGAGCAGACCTGGGTTCAAGCGGTAGAGCTCATGATGGCTATGGACCGTGGGCAAGCTACTTAATTGTCTAGCCTTCAGTTTCATCAGCAGAAAGATGCAAATACTGGTAACGATCCAGGGGGATGTGCTGAGGATTGATGAGACCAACTCTTAGCTGTGTGCAGTGAGTGCACCGTAAGCACACAGATAATTCGGCCATCGCCACCACCACCACCACCATCATCATCATCAACAACAATTACAGTCCTGCTTTTGACAAGGAGAGCTTAAGTAACCTGTTCCAGGTCATCAACTAATAAGTGACAAAGCCTAGGTCTTTGTCATACCAAGCTACGAAGTCAAGTGTGAGAGAAGAAACACGGGCCTCGGTGGTCTCATGTACAAAGTGGGGATCATACTGCTTTTCCCTCATACTTCATCGGGCTGCGGTCTGGGGGAGAAGCAATCCTTGAGGCTGGTATACGCTAGTGACTCGCACATGTGATGCCCACTGTCACCCCCCAGGATTACAGATAAATTCCTTGCAGGCAAGTATTGTGGTCAGCACAACCATGTGGTCACAGAGTAAATATTCAACAAATATGTGGGCTGAAACCAAGAGGGTGTGGTGGGCGGGACCTCGCAGCCCAGACTTGAGGGTTCCTGCCACCCCCAGAGTGGAGGCAGTAGGCACCCTATTGGGGGTGGAGTCAGGAAGGGGGAGGCCCAAAGGCTTCATAACCTGCCCACTTCCTCTGCTCCCCAGCCACATCAAAGCGGCGTAAACTGTTTTCATTAATCTCCATGACAACTCGCTCCCTAAGGCTCTCTGGGCGGAGGGCCCAGCTCTTCAGGTCCCTTGTCATTGTCTCCCTGTGACCTTGCCAGGACCTCTCTCTTAAGCTAACAAACCCCTACCCTCCTGCCCCAGCAATGTGAAATCAATGTAGGTTGGCATTTATCCTCACAAACTGCTCTGAGAGGGAGATATTATCATCCTCCCATTTTATAGATGAGGAAACTGAGGCTCCTATAAATAAAATGTCTTGCGAACGGCCCCACAGTCCAGGATTTGAAACCACAGTGGTCTGATACCTAGTACTGGTAACTGGTAAGTGATTCAGCCTCAGCTCTCCTCCAAGAGGTCATTCCCTGGCCCCATGCCAGGCCCTCCTGGGTCCTCCCATTGCTCCCGGGGCTGGGCTTCCTAGGGGCGGGGCACTCAGCACTACAGCACAGATATAACCACAGGCCGCTACAAAATTGCACTAAAGCAGTTTCCATCAAGCGCACTTAAGGCTCCTGCAGATGAGGGTAATTTTATTTAGCTCACTATTTGCTTTTGTAGAGCGCTCAGGCTCTGTGAAATTAGAGGTCAATTTGTGGACGTGAGATGAGTGGATTTTGTTCTGTACAAAGATCCTCTCAAAGGTGACATGTTAATTCTCCTCCATGATATGAACTGATTTTGTATCTAATCTCGCAACCTTATTCTAGTTTACATGAGAAACGCTTTTCAGTTCTGACACCCTCCTCTAACCCGGCTCTATCCTCTTGCTGGCTGATCACATCTGTGACCGGCTCACTCTGTGTTTGGATGTGCGTTTGGTTTTTCAATTGTTGGAAAATTTAATACTTTCAACAATAAAGATAGATTTAAAAAAAAAATAGAGTTCCGCCCTGGCCGGTTTGGCTCAGCGGTTAAAGCATCGGCCTCCGGACCAGGGTCCCGGGTTCGGTTCCCGCTAAGGGTACGTACCTCGGTTGCAGTTTGTCCCCGGCCCTGGTTGGGGTCGTGCGGGTGGCAACCACTCGATGTGTCTCTCACACATCTATGTTTATTTCTCTTCCTCCCTCTCTCCCTCTCACTCTATCTGAAGATAAATGCAAAAATGTCCTCGGGTGAGGATTAAAAACAAAAAGAGTTCCAAGGGTCCTCCCTGCTCTGAGTCCCACACCAGTTGTTCTGTCTGGCTCTTGTCCCCCAGGCTTAGAACCCCATGTCCCAGAGTCCGGGCCTCACCACAGCCCATCCCTCTGCTCCACATCTGCTTGCTGGGCTGCCCAGAGCAGAGTTCCTGCTCAGCTGCCCACAAAAACATCTCCAGGGCTGCGTGCCTTCCGCGGAGGGCAGCCAGCTGGTTCCACTTGAAATGGGAAGCAGCCTCCCCACACGCAGGTGACAGCCCTCCCCCACCCAACCTCTCCCTTACCCATTTCAAAGTCAGAAGGACTCACTGAAGTCTTGGGCAGACTGCAGGCCCTACCAAGGCGTTTGCACTGAAATCTTTTCTGTCTAAATTGTAAACGGGAGGAAAACTTTGCATTCTCGTTAAAGGAATTTTGGGCGGCAGCCAGAAGCCCAGAAGTGATCTTGGTTGGGGGGGGTAGTGGAATGAAAAAGATTAAATTGGTTTGTCTATTTAGGGTGCCTCGGAAGTTAGGGTGGCAGTGTCTCGATTCCTCATGTGCCCGGGCACCTTTCCTGGTTCGACACCTTCTCCTCAGGGTCTTCCTGATTTCTTCACTCTTCCACCTAAGTCTCTCCCACGAGGTGGGATCCATGTAACAGGTAGACTTGGGTGAGGGCCAAGTGACCATTCTGCTCTTGTGACGACACACAGCTGATTGTTTGGGGGCAGACAGATCACAGAGACGATTGCTTGGGGAAGGAAATCATGAACCCCTCGAAGGAATTTACAGACAGAGACTCACTCCTGAGCTTTCCAGGGGTCATGAATTGTTGGGGAATCAGACTCGGTGCTTCTGTGTGTGTTCAATGTGCACAGTGAGAATGAAACACTGTCACTACTAAATAGGGCCTGGTACGTATGTGTGTAGATTTTAAAAAACAACAACACGGGACTGTAACATGCATTGTGGGGCCTGCTTTCTTCAAAAACTCATTACTAGCCTCGGCCGGTTTGGCTCAGCGGTTAGAGCGTCGGCCTGTGGTCCAAAGAGACCCGGGTTCGGTTCCTGCTAAGGGCATGTACCTCGGTTGCAGTTTGTCCCCGGCCCTGGTTGGGTTGTGCAGGTGGCAACCACTCGATGTGTCCCTTACATGTCGATGTTTCTCTCTCTCTCTCCTCTCTCTCTCTCCCCTTTCCACTCTATCTGAACAAAAAATGAAAATATGTCCTCGGTGAGGATAAAACAACAACAACAAAAAACAACTCATTACTCCACATCTTTTGATTTCAGTAATTGTACTTATATATCATTTTTTAATTATTTTTTATTTTTATTTTTTGGTGGTATGTGCCCCTGGTGGGAACCAAACACGGGACTCTCTGGTCCACAGGCCGACGCTCAACCACTGAGCCAAACTGGCCAGGGCTTCTATATCATTTTTAATGATGGACTAGCATTCTACCAAGTGACTTTGCTACAATCTACTCAACCACGTTCAATATTTAGATTTTTCTTTTTGGGGGGATTGGCTGATTATTAGAAAGAATGCACTGATGAACATTCTTGTAGGAAAGTCTTTGCCTGTCCACAGTTGTTCAAATTTCTAGGAATGGAATTGCTGGGTGAGAGGATATTCTTTTTAATGTTCTAGGGAACACAGCCCCCATTTTCCTGACCACTGCTGGTATTTTTTTTTTTTTTTTATCTTTGCCAATTCGTTAGGGAGAAAATGGTGTCTTACTGTTAAGTTCTGCATTTTCTTTATTACTAGTGAGGGTGAATGTTTTGGAGGGTGTTCCTCAGCTGTTTATGGTTCTGTTTTGAGGTGCTTAAGTTATGTTCTTTTTTTTTAATTTAGGAGAGAGGAAGGAAGAGAGAGAGAGAGAGAGAACATTGATGTGAGAGAAACGCTGGTTGGCTGCCTCCCACACCTGCCCCAGCCTGAGGGTGGAACCTGAAACCTAGGTATGTGCCCTGACTGGGAATTGAACCGATCACCTTCTGGTGTACGGGACAACGCTCCAACCAACTGAACCACACTGGCCAGGGCTTAAATCATGTTCTTTATTCATATTTTCATGGTGTGTTTGTCTATTTTTAATTACTGAAAATAACTCTTCATGGGTTTGAATACTATTAGTTTTTTTCTTTTTCTTTTTCTTTATTGACTTGAAAGAGAGAGGAAGGGAGAGAGAGAGAGAGAGAAACATCGATGAGAGAGAGCGTCGACTGGATGCCTCCTGCATGCCCCCCAACTGGGAATCAGGCCCACAACCTGGGCATGTGCCCTGATTGGGAATCGAATCCACGACCTCTTGGTGCATAGGGAAACACTCAACCATTGAGCCACACCGGCCGGGTGAATACTATTAACTTTTATTGAAAATATTTTTCTTAGTTAGTCATTCACCTTTCACTTATAGTGGGTTTTGCCATATAAAAGCTTTACATTTTATGTTCTCAAATCTGTTAGACTTTTATCATGTTTGCCTTGCAGGGACAATCCTTTATTCTAGGCTCAGGTAACTTGTTTTTCTTCTATTACTGTTTTAAAAATATATATTTTTCTTTATTGATTTTAGAGAGAGGAAGTGAGAGGGAGATAGAAACATTGACGAGAGAGAACATCGACTGACTGCCTCCTGCATGCCCCCCACTGGGGATTTGGCCCACAACCTGGGCATGTGCCCTGACTGGGAATCAAACTGGCGACCTCTTGGTGCAACCACTGAGCCACACCGGCAGGACTCTTCTATTACTTTTATGGTCTTGTTTTCTACACTTAAACCTTTAATCCATCTGTAAGTTATTTTTATAAAATTCAATTTTAATTTTTGGGGACAAAATTCTAACTCATTTTTTATGATCTCTCAATTATCCTGATACCATTTATTAAATGACCTTTATTTTTTTATGACTCGTTTGTACCACTTTGTTATATCATAAAGTTTTAATAATGAATTTGTTTCTAGCTATTCTATTTCATTCCATTATTTATGTATTCTTTTACCAATAATGTATAATTTTAATAACTATGTATAGCCTTAGAGTACCTTCAAAGACCTAGTAAGAAAATATCCATTCTTATTCTTCTTTAAGAAACTCTTAAATATATAATAAATGCATAGATAAATGCTATTATAGAGCACGTACTCTTTCAGATAGACTTTATTTTGTTAAATTTTAAAAGATGTTGTTGGTATTTTGATCGCGGTAACATTTATTTCCATAATACCTGATATTATTACAATAGTGACTCAATGTAGCAACATGTCTTTTCAATTATTTATCCTCCAGTTAAATTTATTTCTCCATGTAGGTTAGTCACATTTCTTTGATTTATTTTATATTTGTAGTTGCTAATGCAAATTTTTTTTTCATGTCTTCTTACAAGTTAATGCCATTATATGGCAAAGCTCTCTACTTGTCTACTAGTCTGACAGTTCTCCAGGTGATCCTCTTAGTCTTGACAAATAAGCAATTGTTTGATTTCTACCTATTAAAATGTTATCTTCTCCAGAAGAGGAAATATCCTTTAATTTTTTTGCATAGGCAAAATACTTAGAAGGATGGAGAAGAAGATTATTGTCTGAACTGGAAATGTCTCTAGTAGTTCACTGTGGGCTGTTACCCTATTAAGGACACTTCCATATATTAATAATTTTCACACATTAGAGGGGTTTTAAATATCAGGAATGGATGTTGAGTTTCATCAAATATTTTAGAGGCACCTATTTAGTTGTTTATTGACTTTATGCCTTTGAGCTACTGATGTGATGAATTATTCTAATAGCAGGCCACCTCTCGGTAAATCATACTTGATTATGTTTTCTCTTGCTCTACAATAGTTTTCTTCTGCCTCGTTTTCATGTGTAGTATAGCACCTGCAATTTCTTAAGAACTTCTTCTTTTCAGATTCCACATATGAAACCTTAGTCCCAGGCCCTTGTCCACACTTGCCATGGCGCCCTTCAACCATCAACCCGCCTGTCCCTAGCACCAGCCACCTTCCATGGCCAGAAATTCATCTGTCACACGCACACTTCCCTATTTGCTCCTGGGACAAAGAGAACAAATGGGGACCTCATGTCAACATGGTGGGGGCTTCGCTGTCTGACCTGGGCGGCCTCAGAGACCACGTGGGTAACCGGAGCAGAGGCACAGGCCACAGGGTGGGGTCTCCTTGCGCTGACGCCCTGCTCAGCTCCCCTATGATTCCTCCTCGAGTTACTGCCTTGTCACTGCTCTCAGCCACCTGATGCTGTACACATCGTGTACACACAGCACCATGAGGAGGAGACTCCAAGGTTTTGAAACAGGGCCATGGCAGAGATGAGCTGAAGGAGGGGTGGTGAGGAGGATCAGTTCCAGAAGAGCCTCCTGACTGCAGGACCCCTGCCCCACATGCAAACTGGCTCAACACTAACCTGGGGCCTTGAGTTCGGCATCGATGAAGGTGAGCAGTTCCTGGCTGATGCTGCAGTAAGGAACCGGCCAGGTCAGGAACTGGCAGTAGGTTCTGGCTGCTCTCAGAAGGAGATCTGAGTCTGGCGGGAAGTGTGGTGTCTGGAATGGAGAGGGAGAGGCGAGCAGAGAAGTCTGGGTGAGAGAGCGCTCACGGATACTCCAGAATAGAAGCTGCTCCTTCTCTGGGATGTCCCACAGAAGGCACACATTTCCTGGCAGCAGTGTGTCCAAGCACAAGGTCAGAAAGACCTGGAAGTAACCCACAGGGAGTGAGTTACAGGCAGGCAGCTAAGTTACGCCAAGGACACCTCTGCGGGAAGGGCCTTGTGTCTACTACACCTAACGCGATTTACCCCGTACGTGAGAGCACCTCTCGGAAAAGCTGCGGGCCCTCTGCAGTGGGGCCGTCGCTGCCTCTCATGTTGGGGAATGGTCTTCAAGGCCTGACCCACACTTATCCTTACAGAGGGCAAGGTGCATTCTTTGATGTGAACTGATCAATGTACATGGTGCCACTGGTCTGGTGAATCAGGGTGATTACATTGGGTAAAACTGACCACTGGGGAACAAAATAAGGTGACAAAATCTCTTTAAAAGGGTCCCTTTCATGGCCTGTGAACAGACTGTAACAGCGGTTCGCCCATGGGTGCCGGGGCACACCAGGCAAACAGCACCCACGTGTGGTTACCGGAGACCTCTGAAGATGGCTACGCTGAAGCCACCAGAAGGCTGACATGCATCTCAGGTGTCACTGCTTGTCAGTTGCTCCCTCTGTTTGTCCTCAGAGCTGTGAGGGCTATGCCTGCCCTGTGGAGGTTGCTGTCTCTCCTCCCCGACTCCCCCAGCCCGGCCCATCATGGAACTTACACAGAGGACAGTGGAGTAGAAGAGCAAGGCCAGGGGGTTGAGGAGGTCATAGGTGCCCTTCTCTTGGACCTGTGGAGAGAGCAGGAGAGGAAGGTGAGGCTCATTCACAAGGTGCAGAACAGAGCGCTTTCTTGTTCTAGTCTTTCTTTTTTAATTGGAAATCAATGCAACCACGAGACAAAAATGTGGAAAACAGAAGTTAGAAAAGACACTCATGATGCTCCCCCCAACTCAACCACAGCTAATGTTTCAACATACTTCTCCGTACACCAATTTTCTCTGTGTTTTCCTCTGCAAAGGTGTGAGCGTAGTGTGTATATTTTTACTCTTAATGTCTTTTACATATCATATTATAAATATATTTCTGTTTTGTTACATGGTCTCTGAGACCACCTTTTGTTCCCCTCCTGGTTCTACATGTACCTGTTATTTATATTATAAATATTTTTTCTAGTTTGTTGTTTGTCTTTTAAATTTATGGATTTTTTGGATGTACATAAATTACTTGTTAATTTTTCCTTTGTGGATTTTTGCTTTGGCATGCAAAGACCGTGTAAATATTCTTATATATTTTCTTCCAAGCTTTATTTTCTTAAATTTAAGTCTTAATATACCTAGAATTCCATCTGCTATATGGTATGAAATAGGATTCTCACTCTGTATTTTTCCAAATGTTTCATCAATTTCCCCTAAACCACTGAATAACTATTACTGATGTAAAATTTTTTACATATTAAATTGTGTTAGTACTGTTGGATAACATCCATTATTTTTATTAGCTGTATAATATTCCTTCTGGTAGATATCTATAATTTATTAGTTTTATTTTAGACATTTGATATTATGTCTTGCTATTTAATTACTTTTGCAATGAAAACCTTTGAGGAAATTTTGTTTTCTATAACTTGTATGATTTATCTAGAATAGAGTTCAAGAAGCACACTCAATCAATCAAGATTATAAGCACATTTATGACCTTTGAAATATATTGCCCGACTTCTTTCCAAAAGGATCTTGCCATTTACAATATCGTTTATGTATGAAAGGACCAGTTTCACTACACCCTTCTCTCCAGTGCTTATTATCATTTTTTGCTAATTTGCTAGGCAAAGTCTGTCTCATTATGGTTTAATTTGAATTTATTTTATTATCCCTGGGGCAACCTTTTTCCCATATATGTTTGCAAGTTCTAGTTGTTCTTTGGTGTGTTGTCTTTTTGCGAGCGCTCACGCCCCACACGTGTACACCTGTACACACAGGACTTGGAATTCTCTGGTCTCTCAGCCCGTTCCAGACTCCCGGGTTGAAGACACAGAGAAAGCCCCACATCTCTGCTGTGCTCGGATGGAACAGTCTCCTTTTCTTTATCCCGACAGACCGGGTGTCTGCTCGCCTCCCCGCCCAGCGGCTGCTCCTTTATGTTTGGGTTTGCACGTCAAGCGCTCGTTGGTTTGCTTGCAAACGCACCAGGTAGATGGTGCTGCTGGAAATGGGACCGTGGTGTCTTGATAAACCAAGACTTCCTTCTACAGGTAAAGGCTCAGCTAACTGAGAAAGTCAAATGTTTGCCAACACAGTCATGTATTTACAAAACAACAACAAGAACTTTAAAGAGAATTCTTTAGAAAAGAGCCAGAATGGTCCTCAGGGACCCCGGGCTGCCCTGGGAGCCCCACCCAGCCCAGCTTCTGGAGGCCCGATCAGCGACCTGTCGGAAGAGGTCTCAGTTTACCTCTCCCATCTGTTTTCTCTTCTGTGTCTTTGTTTTCATGGATCTTTTTGAGGAAGGGAATTCAGGAAGGCCTCCTCCCTCCTTCCTAGTCAAGACCTTGACCTCCAAGCGATGTCTGTCTTAAGAAGCAGCTTGCAGGGCCCGGCTCACGGCTCACGTGTTCTCATCGAGAAGCCCACTCCCTTCCCAGAAACCTTCAATCCACAAGCACGGCCGAAACAGAGCCAGCAGGTTCCCCGTGCCTTTGCCAGTGACCCCAGAACTGACATTCTGTGGGTTCCTCTTTCCTGACCGCAGGAGGCCGATCCCAGCTCTGCCCTTCAGTCCCGGGCCAGCCCTCACCTCTTGTGTCTTCTGTAGGATCTGTTCCAGGAGGATAAGGGAGTGGCCTGGATCCCTGCTGACCAGCTCCCGTAGGCTCCAGCAGTTCAGACACAGCCCAGCTGGGAAGGGAAAGACCAGTGGTCAGTTCGGGGTTGGAGAGAAGTGGGGACCCCTGGGGCTGCATGGGAGGAGTCCTTAATAAAGTAAGAGTATCAGAAAATTCTGGATCAACACTCAACCCTAGCATGCGCCATTAAGACATAATGACAAGTTTCTTATTCCTGGCGGCCCAAGAGACACAGAGAGGGGCCGAGATCCCCTTCAAAGGCCAATGAACCGACCATGATTCTGGTCCCTGTGACTCTGGGGGACACCGGTTCTGTCACCGCCACCTGCCCTGTTTCCTACCGTAGGTGCAGGAACCTCCGAGATACAGGGAAGGAGGGCAGAGGCAGAGATGGCTGGAAGAATAGGGAGAGGAGCACGGTGGCCCCGCACCCCTCTCCAACGCCCACGGGACTTCCCAGGACCGCCTGCAAGGGAGCCCAGGAAGGGGAAGCGACATTTACTTATATTTTGAAAGCGACAATGAACACTTTGTCATTCTAACTTCCCCAGACTTTCTTATTTTGCCAATTTCAGTTTCTCTGCAGTCAGCAAGGGTAAACCCCTAAAAATTAAAGGGGTGGTCATGGAGGTGTGTGTGTGTGTGAGTGTGTGTGTGTGAGTGTGTGTAGTGGCGAGTGAGGGCCGGAGGGGCAGAAGTAGCTGGACCATGAGTTTCACGGAGCTCCAGGCCCCCCCTCCCCCGTGTGCATGGGCTCCTTCCAAAGTCTTAGAGGCACCTAACAGTGCGTTTCATGGGGTCACACAGGTTTTTATAAAATTTGTAAAAGTCACATAGTTCCGTGTTATTTTACTTAATGATAGCCCTCTCAATTCTATAAGCTTACACTCCATCAACACCTGGGCAGGAGGCAAGAAGACAAATACTACCACTTAGTGACCGCCTACTCTGGGCCAGGCCTCTGCTTACACCATCTCCATCGAGCCTCCCATCCTCCCTTCAGGAAGGTGCTTCCTGTTGTTATTGTTCTGATTGTACAGACAAGGCAGGTGAGGCCCCGAGAGGCTAAGTGACTTCGAACAAGTTTACACAACCAGTGAGAGAGAGTTTCATCCAAATCAATTTCATTCCAAAAGCCAAGGACAGCCTCTCAGAGGAGGTGGCGTTTGAGCTGAGACCTGGATGAGAAAGAGCCAGCTGTGCACAATTCTGAGGGAAGAATTCCAGGCAGCAAGTGCAAAGGTCCTGAGGTAGGAAGAGACCAGATTTGTTCAGGAATAGTGGGTATCTCTCTCAAGGGGTAGTTAGGGAGGCAAGTGAGATATGGGATAAGAAAAATCTTTACAAGCATAAGAATTATTACAATCAGCCACTAGACTTCAGAGACAGGACTGCCCCGGCCTGCAGATACCATTTCTCAGTCCTGGGAAACATGAAACATGGAGGCCTCTGGCTTCCTGCTAAGATTGTTCCTTGCTCCATGGGGGAGAAGAGGATGGGGCTGTGGAAGGAACTTGAAGCCAAGTAAACAGAATTCTGGGGAGAGCCGTCTATAAATTCCCAGCTGCTCTTTCTGAATCAACCACTGTGGTATTTCTAAGCAGGTTCAATAACTACTGTGCTTCTAGCATACGCGAAGGAAGAAGATACAGCTCTGGGAAAGGTGAGGAAGGCAGCGCGGGAGACAGGAGACACTGCTGCACGCTGAGGGCCTCCCCGTCAGGTGCTGTGCCGAGCACCGCCCAGGAGATCCAGGAGTCTGCAAAGTCACAGAGTTGGAACCAGAATCTGCCGGCTTCCATGCCTCGTCCAGGGCTCCCTGCAGCCCCTGAGGCTTGCTTGGGCTTTAAGAGCACCCCCCTAGTTCCCTCAGACCTACCTGACCAGGAGGAGGACCGGTGACGGTTGAAGCTGAGTCCATGCAAGCAGCGCTCCAGGGCGTGCTGGATGCGGTCCTCTGTGCACGTCGTAGCCCCTGGCTGCATCCTGAGTCATCGCCTGCGCGGGGACAGACACTGGTCAGCCCGGGACCCCCAGGTGCGAAGAGCACAGGCCTAGCCGGGCAGATGGCACAGACAACAGACACTCAGCCCAGCACACGGGCCTTGCTATTGCTTGAGTGCTGTGGGCACAGAGGAGGGGCTCACAGCTGCCTCCAGGGCTGGAAGGACTCCTGGGGCGCTGCTCACGCGGCAGGAAGGGGTGCTCCTGCGGCCATGGCACGACCCGTCAGGAAGCGAGGGGTCGGGGACAGGAGTGGAGAGGTGCCTGCCCCACGGGCACTGGTGAGTGTCTCCAAGAGCCTGGGGGGTGTCCAGGGAGTGCCCAGACCCCAGTAGGCCGGGCAGGAGGACCTCCAGAAAAGAATGAGAATCACAGGGGGATTTTTCTGAATTTCCAGGCCTGTACCCTCAACCCCAAGGGATGGGCAGGGAGCCTGTTCCTGTTGAGAAGAGCCAGAGACCCCCTCACTGCACTGGGGGTCCCAGCGCTGCGACGTGGTGGGCTGTCCTCCACCACCTGCCACATCTCAGCTTGGGTGCCCAGGCCACGGGCACCTGTTCCTTTTCTCTCCTCACCTCCACTTTTGCCATGTTTCTTTGCTTTCTCTGAGGCTTGGCAATGTTGTTACTAGTTATCCAAAGACCCTGCCTGGCCCCCCTCCATTGTCCTACTGAGGAGAGACCCAGGGTGCTCAGCTCAGGCTGGAGGGCCACTGAGGAGGGGACATCAGGGGGGTTTTAGCACCAGATGGGTAACTGTGGGAAGTGCCAAATTCTAAGAGCCCCAGAAGGGCCAGCCCAGCTTCTTGGCTACGTGCGAGGCCCGCGTCCTCCGGGAGCCACAGCAGGCAGGTTAGACGGGTGAACAAGCCTGGTCTCTGGATCCACAGACTTGGACTCGGGTCTCGACTCTGCTACTTACTAGCCAGATGGCTCTGGACAAATTCTGTGACTTTCCTGAACCTCAGTTTACATATCTATAACATGGGATAAGGAGGGGACCGACCCCATAGGGCTGCTGGGAAGATTCAATGCCGTCGTGGTGGATCTGCGGGGTCAGCCTCCAGGACAGAACAGCGATCATGCCCCAGCCTCTGCCCCAGGTCTCTCCCTGCGTTCACCCTGCAGGCAGCCTCCATCGCCGGCCAGTCAGGCCACGTCAGAGAGGAAGCTGAAGAGGCAGCAGTCCCGCTCTGTGGAAGTGAGGACAGACCAGGAAACCACAAGCAGAAGCACAAGGCTCGGAGCTGAGCCATGCAAACAGCATGCAAAGAGCTCTGGAATCCGAGGCTGGGCCCGCTGCAGGACGGGCGGCCAGCTGACGGGGCCCCAGCAGGCACATCCTCCTGCCCCCCCCCCCCCCCCCCGCCAGGGAGCAACCACGTGTCCAGGCAAACATAGCCCTCTGTGAGCTGTCCAGCATCACATCACCTCACTGATGTCTCTGGGATGGTGCAGTGGTCAGCATGTATTTATTCTTTCTATTTTTTCCTTTATTGATTTTTAGAGAGAGAGGAAGGGAGAGGGAGAGAGATAGCAACATTGATGAGACAGAACATCGATTGGCCTCCTCCTGCATGCCCCCCACTGGGGATCAGGCCCACAACCTGGGGATGTGCCCTGACTGGGAATCGAACCGGCAACCTCTTGGTGCATGGGTCAACACTCAACCACTGAGCCACACCGGCCGGGCAGCATGCATTTATTCGTTCAGAGTTAATGACCACCTATATGTGTCAGGCGGTAAGGACACTGCACTGAATGAAGCCGGCCAGCCCCTTGGTAGGAGACAGACATTAAAACACGATTTCACAGCCCTGGCCAGTGTGGCGGGGTGGGTTGGGCGTCATCCGTGCACCCGACGTTGCAGGTTTGATTCCAGTCAGGGCGCATGCCCGGGTTGAAGGCTCGACCCCTGTAAGGAGCGTGCAGGAGCCCATCGAAGTTGCCCTCTCACATCAGTGTTTCTCTCCCCTGCTCCCTTCCTCTCTCTCTAAAAAATCAATAAACTACTAAAAAAACACCCCAAAAAACAATTTAACAGACAAAGAAAGAGGTCGTCGCAGAAGGTGGTCACACTATGAAGAAAGTGACAGTCCTGGGGTGTGCCGAATGGGGGGCCCATTCTAGGTTGTTGGAGGTCAGCGAAGCTTCTTAGAAGGGACATTTAAGATGAATGAGGAATTTGGGAGAAAAGTTGGGGTGAGGGGTATTCCAGAGAGAGGACACAGCATGTGCAAAGGACGGCGCAGGAACGAGCCTGCCAAGGACTGAGACCCTGGAGCACAGACCAGCCTCCCAGGTCCCACCTGCTGCTGCTGCTGACGTGGCGGACTGAGTGCAGACACTCTCACTGGTTTTCAGGACTCTGGACCTTGGGTGTTTCCATTAGTGGCACCTCGATGCCTGAAGATGCCCTTGGGTCCATCCAGGGAGATGATTTTGTGTGTGTGTGTGTATGTGGTACGTGCCCCTATCGGGAACTGAACCCGGGACTCTCTGGTCCGCAGGCCGACGCTCAACCGCTGAGCCAAAATGGCCAGGACCCTTCCACGGAGATTTTGACAGTTGCCTTTGGGCCTTTGTCTGCCGGCTCCTTCTAGTGGTTCAGGCAGTGAGTCCTGGACCTGGAGCCAGGCAGGCGGACTTCAGGCGTTCAGGCCCCTCCTTCACCTGGACTGTGCTGGTACCTGGCATGGATGTGTCCCTGGGGATGAACGCTTGTGAAGAGGCCGCACCCTTCTACCGTCAGGGGCAGCCCTCTGTTGGCAAGGCAAAGACACGAGCTCCGTGTGTGTGGTGGGGGTGGACATTAGCAACCGAAGCTGGACTTGAGCTGTTTTGTGGATCCTTCACCCTGGAGAGCCCCCAGCAGGGTGAGGAATGCTCAGCAGATGCTCAGCAGTCGAGCCTGACGGTTGGATCACCTTTGGGGGAAGCTGGGGTGGAGGGGCAGGTGAAGAGCTGGAAAATCTGTGGCACAGAGAAGTTAAACAACTGGCATAAGGTCACACAGCTAGGAGGTGGCAAAGCCAGGCTATGAACCCAGGGAGTCTGACTCTTGACCACTACCACACACTGCCCCTCAGTACCATCAAAATGCAGTTACTAGAAGAAAACTAAAATCAATTCATGCTCCACCCCACAAGTGAAGACTCAATTAACTATACCATGGTCTTGCTTTATGTGGCCCCGAGTCCCAGTTGCTGGGAATCTTGAGGTCACCATGCCTGTCTACACAGCTGCCGCCCTCCAAAGACAGGACAAGGGCTCACAGAAGCAGCATTCTTGGCTGAACAGGGCGGTGACCACGGTGGCCCACGGGGCCCAGGAGTCTCGAGTCTGCAGCAGAGGGTTTACCGTGGGAACTGAGTGTAAGTGATGATATTGGGGGTTGCTGAATGGGGAACCCATTCTAGGTTGTTGGAGGTCAGCAAAGACTCTCAGAAGGGACATTTAAGATGAATGTCCAGCCCCGCTGCAAAGGATAAGTCCACCCAGCCCCTCTGCCCAGCCCCTCCGCCAAGCCCCACTGCAATGGATAAGTCCGTGGTGTCACGAGGTAGGAATGAGTCACCCTGCTCATTGCATCCCACTGCAACTGATGCAGACACAAGGTCCAAATGCACAGTTCAGCCGACGCCCCTTCTGCCTCACCCCATCCGTAGGGGTCAGAACACAGTGTTCTTCACAGAGGCTAAAGGCTGCTCCCGCACACCTCCGATGTCTGCTGGCCATGCTTCATCCCTTCCTGGGCCCTGGCCTCAGGGTCCCTGGCTGTTCACTGGAAGCAATCAAGGCCTTCTCCGCAGACGGGCGCTGGGCAGAGTCCCCATTAAGCCAGCCTCCCTGGCATCTGAGGCCATCTAGAGCTTGCCCCCAAGCTCGTCTTAGAGGCAGGACTTGCCCGAGGTGCTGGGACCCAGCCGGGGATCCTCAGCTGAGCTGCCCTGGAGGTTGACGCAGCTCACGCCTGGTCCGCCGCGCGCTCATTTCCGTTTGATGAGTCAGTCACCAGCCGTTTCTTGAGACTTGTCAGCAGAACCCCATGGCTTTGGGGCGGAGATAAAGAGGGAAGAAAGCGGCATCTCACTTTCCCCAGGGATGATGCCTTTTTTCAAAGGCTTGGTGAGCAAGGCCTGGCTTCCCCTGGCATGCCGCTCCCGGCCCCCTTCTCCGCCCCGCTGAAGCATCTGTTGTGAAATTCAGTGGCTGCCCAGAATGGGAATGCCCCGCACACCCGCAGTGGGGGAGTGTTGAAACATTCAAAAATGGGGTTTGCCCCCACGTCCGAGTTCCTCTTCTGAGCCAGTAAGGATGAGTCTTTACTGGGGACCCTGAACAGGACAGGGTCACGTTGATGTGACCCCTTGGGGTAAAACAGGGTTATCTTCCCTAATGTGCAGGACTAGCCGGAGAGTCGGGGTCTTCCTGGGCCCAGCTTCCCGAGGCAGCCCCACATGGGGCAGGGACGAGGGCACCTCTTCTTGGGGGACTTCTCAAACAGTGAGGAATGGCAGAATTGGAGGGACCACATCTCGGAGGGAGGGAAGCATGGTCTTCCGGGCTCTGGCAGGACCCCATACTGCTTCCCTGGTGTTCTGGAATATTTCAGGCCCGTGCTTTGAGGCCTTAGTCCCACAGGTGGGAATGAGAGAGACATCGGGGCCTGTGGTCCTGCTCCGACGCCACCTGCTTTCTCCTGGATCACTCCTCTCTCCCCCTTCTTCCTGTCCCCTGTGGCATGACCTCCCTTTCTGCCCCCACTGTCTTCCTCATGACTGCTTAAGGCAGAGGACAGTGTGGTGGGAGCGAAGGAGGCGCAGCCCTTCCGGGGAAGGCGAGGGCACAGCACAGCCACGTCCTCCGTGGCCCACGTGAGGGCACAGCACAGCCACGTCCTCCGTGGCCCACACGAGGGCACAGCACAGCCACGTCCTCCGTGGCCCACGTTAAAGAAATAACTCAAATGAAACGGGATACGGGGGGAGGGCAAAAGGTGAAATACAAACAACAACAAATTAACCTAACTGCACTGTAAACCATTAACAGAGCCACATTGAAGGGGATGGGAGTAAAAGAACTAACCTGAGTAACTTTGGAAAACAGCATTTTGACCAGATATTATAAAGCTAAGCACAAATATAACGACATACAGATACAATGACATACAAACACTGTTTTCTAGTTATGACACCTGTTTCTCACGGGGATGTGGGATAAGAATTCTGGAGCTTCTTTTTTTAAATTTATTTTTATTTTTTATTTTATTAGTATTTTTTTAAGAGAGAGAGGAAGGGAGAGAGAGATGGAAACATCAATGTAAGAGAGAGAAGCATTGATCGGCTGCACGCCCCCTACAAGGGGTTGAGCCCGAAACCTGGGCATGTGCCCTGACTGGGAATCGAACCAGGACCTCTCAGGCCATGGACCACGCTCAGTCCACTGAGCCACACAAGCCAGGCAATCCTGGAGCTTTTTTATGTGTATGCTAGGATTGAACACAGAGGAAATATATCATAGATCATGAGAACCAGTTTCTCACTGTTGGAGGAAGAAGTTACACCATAAGAAAAAGGTAGAAGCTAGAATGAACCAACCTATGGTGCTAGACTGAAACTGGAGAGATCAGTATCAACTCATGGTTTTTAATGTATACACAGATAGATACATATGGAAGTAAAAAAAGGTGTATATGCTTGCATTAACGTGCACACGTATGTTTCCTAGCTCTGTCTGCTGAGAGAGCCGAGAAGCAACAATGTCCCAGGAGCAATGAGCTCACCTAATGTCCAGACCGTGGTTTCTAAATACCATTCTCTAATCGAAGGACTCAGGCTCCTTAGAGAAATGGCTGATTCTAGGGCTAGGGCAGGAAACATACACGAGACATCTGGAGCACTTTGGAGTGCCGGGAAATAGGTCAATGCTTGCACCGGGAGGAGTGTCCGAAGGACATGGGAGCTGCTCGGAGGAGCTTTCAACGGCTAAAGCCAGGATAATTTGCAAAACAAAATATATAATAAAAGGATTGGGTTATAATTCATAGGTTGAAGTAAGTGTCCATGAGTCTATACTATTGTTATATATAATAAAATTTTAGAAATAAAATAAACAGAAGAGAAGAAACAGGTCTCCTTTACAAAGGAATTCCAATTAATAAATGTGGGAGAAATGAGAGAAATACAACATC